GGTCTCTCGTTTCATAATTGTTGTACATCTAACAAAGTTTGAAAAAGATTTGCTTTGGGTCTTCACAAGACATATATGACTTTATTGATTAATACTCTATTAGATCAAAGCAATCAATGAAGTCAAACCTTGGGAGATGGTTTTTGATAGAGGAGGAAATGCAGTCCCTATTGATGAGATCATATGTTGAAGTGAGAAAACATAGCGGGTGTTCATCTTTCTATTTCATAAGTACGTTATTTCATGAAGTTGTTTGTCATTATTGCACGGACTTCGACGCAGTGTAATGTTCAATTAGCTTGTCTCGCTAAATCAATTACAATTGAGTAGTGAGTTCGAATCTCATTGGGTGCGCACTTTCAGCCTAGTGTCACATCTAAGTTACGCTTAGAAAATCCTTGGGCACTTATACGTGGTGTAATGGCTAGCAAGCTTGTCTTAATAGATCAGTTACGACTGAGTAGTGAGTTCGACCCTCACTGGGTGTTCCGTACTTTCGGCCTTGCTCTACATCTAAGTTACGCTTAGAAAATCATTGGGCAGATGGACGTGGTCTAATGGTTAGCAAGCTTCTTTCGCTGGATCAACTACGACTGAGTGGTGAGTTCGATCCTCACTGGGTGCACGATACTTTCGGCGTTGTGCCACATCCAAGCCACGCTTAGAAAATCGCCATTATTGCAGCGCCTACCAGGATGAATACCAAATTGGGTCGTGATAAATTGACTTTCATTTATTTGTGAGCATCTAGTAAGTGAAATAATCATTACTCGGTTCTCCATAATGAACCCAATTGAGATTTCTCTGTATATGTGATTATCTAACGTTTTGTTTCGAAATAAAATTTTCTTCTAGATGGCGTAAATGATGTTTGGGTTTTTCGTTATACCACGGAAGCTCATTAATGAGAGAAGCCTGGAATTACAAATGCTTCCCCCAAAATGGCGTTTAGCACGCATTAACGCATTATAGAAAACGAACGTTAGTCTTCAAGACTGTAACACATGTAGAGGTATATCAGATGGATCCATTATGGGGAAAGTATTAATGGACATCATATTAATTAATCTCTCATCGTTTGATGACAGTCATCTGCTCACGACTCCGTTTGGTTTTCATTCTAGAAAAGGATGCAAAATTGACATATATTTCATCAAACAGCTCCAAGAAATTGCATATCTCTCAAATAGGAAACTCTGCTTTGCTTACCTCATAGCAGCATATGATAACATCAATAGAGAATTCTTTTTCTCATCCATTACAAACCACCTTCGATCTCCGAATTCACTGAAGGCATCGATATAATAGAAAAAATGTATTGTAAGTATCTGACGAGGACCCCAATACGGAAACATTTGAAACCTCATCAGGAGTATGACAAGGAGGGAAATTGGATTATATGAATTTGGTTAAATGATAATGTGATTTCTGAACAAATGTATTTATCAAGAAATTGGTAGATATGAAATAATTAGACACAAGCAACAAGGCAGATAGATACGAAGTAGTCAGAAGAGATAGAAGCAAGCTGTCTTTTGTGAATAGCTATGAATAAGCACACCAACAAACAACCGATGTAATTTTTGAGTGAGAAAAAAAGAAAAAAAAAAACATATATACACAACTGTTTTTCCTGTCATCATTATAATGATTAACAAGCGGTCAAACATTAGAATTGTGGGAAGAGTCACTAATTTGAAAAACCCATGTAACCAACACGTAAAACAAAGTAAATATTTTTAAGGCATTCAAATCTTTTTCAGGATTATTCTAAAATCAATCAAGCTAATCTTTCAACTTTTATGTTACACAAAGCTGGTTTGACAATTTAACCTAGGGCTTGGAACTTTTCTAGTCTTATCGAAACAATGTATTTGGACCAGTATATTTCATCTAGATTATACACGGCGCATTTGCAAACACAGCTGTATGAGTATCTAAACATTCCATATCACATTCCAAACGAATCGACAAATAGAAGACAACGATCCTTGCCTTCCCTCCTGAGGCCAATGTTCTGATGATGAAGTTGATGACATATGTATTCATAATTGGGATAAAAATGATCTTTACCAGAAAGTGGACATCCTCTATCAAGTACTCCAAGAAATGCGACTCAAGATAAATCTTTCCAAAACAGAATCTATGATCTGGAATTGGAATCAATTGAGTGATGGCACCTACACCTAATTCATCATAAAAATTCAGGATTTAGAATTAGTAAGTACTAAACAGTTCAAATACCTCAGAGTATAAAGAAGTTATAATAAATTTGGTCTAGGAGGAAAAGAAATTGAACATAGCAACGACTGCACCAGATATAGTTTCGTCCGATACCACAAACTGCAAAAATACGAAACATACCAATCTGAAAATTCGAGTCATATTCTTAAATAGCCTCGTCAGATCGATACTATCCTGCATGGCGCCAAAACGTTTCAGAAATATCTTAAATATAGACCTGTTTCCTAAGATCAATGGTGAAAAGAGGGTTTGAGCGAGAGAAACTCGAGGGTTTTGACAGATATTCTGCTTTGGCGCCACAGAATCGCAAACAAGAACTGTACCAAATAACAGAAACTATATAACTTGAGGACTATCAACAACAACAACAAATGGATAGCCCATGTAAATGTAAGAGAAAATAATGACATAATCAAGATGTTAAACTTTCACACTAATTCAAACAAAAAGGTTAGGAAGGACACTCCCATCAATAGTGGAAAGAGCGATAACAGCTATTGGACTTGAAAAACCTGTTATCCTGAAAAGTTGTTTTAAGAGAACGATTTTATAAATTTCAACCGTAAGCAGTACTGTCTACTCGATCAATGGATGTCAAATGTTTCCTTATAGGAAATCGGATAATACTATCATTAGCATTCTAAATTTACCTTTTGGGTTGTAACTACTTTTCTATATTATTTACACTATTTAACCGCTGACTGTATATATATATATATATATATATATATATATATATATATATATATATATATATATTGAAGTTAAAAGTTGATTACTTTTAAATTAATTTTTTATTACTCCAAACTAGATTTAACTACAGCTTACTTCAAAATGAACTTTTTTGGGCGGACAACGTCTTTTATTTTTAATTATTTCATCCTGATCTTTACCAGCAGTCCGTTCTGGGTATGACGATAAACTACGTTCGGGGAGCGTGGAACCACCTCTTAATTGCTGATGCTTCCAGGTTCTGGGTCCCAGCTATGGGTAAATAGTTAACACCCAAAATGGGGTCAAAACAGTATGAAAGTATTAAAATAAGTTTTAATGCCAGAAAATACTTTTTTGTAAATAATTATTACCAGCAATACATTTCTGAAAAAAAATATTACTAGCAATAAAAAAATTGTGGTCATTAAATAACCCATTGAGGTTGATATGCCGTAAAACAAAACAAACTAAACTTTACCCCGAATCTACATTCTAAACAAATAGTTTTATAATAAAATAGTTAACAGAATTAAAATTTTGATATCCCCACCTCGTCTTGTAACAGGTAATTTATTCACTTGTATGCTGTTATAAAAAAAAAGTTAAATAGGTATAAAATCCCTTTGAGTAGCATAGAAAGATAACACAGACGACACGGACACTTTGAAGATGGGGTAGCGCAGGTGTCGTTTACTAGAATCCCCATCATTTACAAATATTCAATATGTAGCAGTTTAGTGAATATTTTACTTGGATTCCCAAAACATATCCTCAATCACATTGCTATTCTCTACTTTTTGACGTGTACATGACACTTTCTTCATATTTAATCTCTGCGTCTCTTTGGAGTTCGATGACAACAACATCAACAATAATTTATAGACAACGCACAAAGAATGTAACATGATTTCCCAAAGGACCATATGTGATAAGTCATTTTTCTTTCTTTTACAGATATTAAATAAGAAAAGCTGCGTCATCAGTTGTAAATATATGTTTGAGTAAATAACAAAATCAGTTCTGATTTTATTTACGCTTATTTTCAAATGTCTAGCTGAAGACAATAAAAATAGCATTGTATTAATTGACTATATGTCGAGGTTCAGGTGTTTGTGTTAAAACCTTCAACTGGAAGAATTGGCATTTCCCTCGTCGTAAGAAAAGCGCCCTCTACAATATTCAAGAGAATATTCAAGTGGATTCAGGTTTTGATAAGCGTTAAGTTCAGATATTCTGAACTTGAAAGGTCAGACTCGTTTCAAAGTTACAGAGAATTTTCAAAAATAAGATATTGAATAAAGTTTTTTTTTTTACCCAAAGCAAGGCAATAAAGCCGGTAAGTCGTAAGTTACTGAATGTTAGCGAACATGACAAAAAATATATTATTAAGGAGAAAGGAAAATGAAAGAAGAAGAATTAAGAAGACAGAAGATGACAATTGACGTTGCATTAAAACTTTTGAAGTTGATTGGAAAGCAAGAAGCCGGAACGGATTTCCACAGGTGCGAAACTGTAAGCATAGAAATAATGGTTACATCTAGTCATTTCTAGTGTAAAATGATGAGACCTTGCCGCCAATCAAGTACTGCGCTTAAATTAATGAACTATAGGTACTATAGAAGACTGTTCATGAAAAAATTTCCATGAAAGTATTTATAGAAGCTACGTTTATGGTGGTGGAAAAATATCTGAAGATGGAATGACAGATCAGGAGAAATTTGCATATTATCAAGAATCAGTAAATATATAGCAGGAGCACCAGACCAGATGTGGAAGCAATGTTCAAAGAAATGCATTTGTTTACTACATGACCAGGTGCAGGCGTTCGAAGAAAAAATTTTAACTGGAAAAAGTGGCATTTCTTTAGTTATAGTTTTGTTGTCAGAACTTGCTACACTAAAAAAAAACAACAAAAAAAACGAGTCAGTATAATAGCTGTTACCTTTCTACGCAACAAAGTGACAGCATGATATTCTAAATATAATATAATATAATATCTATCTAACTAGCTTTCAGTATTTTTCTTTTTTAAGTATATATGTATGTATGTATCACTTTCTGTCTGTTTATATCTATGTAAATATTTCAATCTGCTTTTATATATTTTTTATATAAATCATTCTTATCTATCTATCTATCTATCTATCTATCTATCTATCTATCTATCTATCTATCTATCTATCTCAGTCTAGTCATATCTATCTCTTTCAGTATTCTCATTTCTAAGTATATATGTATGTATGTATTGTTTTCTGTCTGTTTATATCTAAATATTTCATTCTGTTTCTATCTATCTATCTATCTATCTATCTATCTATCTAAGCATCTACATGCTTGGGTCTGTTCATATGTATGTATGTAAGCGTCTGACTATATATCGCTTTATCTATATCAGTCTGTTATATTTATCTACATATGTACCTCTTTCAGTCTGTTTCTATCTATCTATCTATCTATCTATCTATCTATCTATCTATCTATCTCTTTCACTCTGTATGTATGTATAAGTCTATCTATGTATCTATGTGTCTCTTTCAGTCCGTTCATATCTATCAACATATCTCAATCAATCAATCAATCAATCAATCAATCAATCAATATATATATATATATATATATATATATATATATATATATATATATATATATATATATACATCTATCAGACTTTTTATATCTAACTATCCATCTCTAGATGGGAACCTCGACGTGGGGTAATGGTTAGAAACATTGTCTTGCTAGATCAGTTACGACTGAGAAGTGAGTTCTATCCTTGCTGGGTGCCCCATACTTTCGGCCTTGTGCCACATCTGAGCCGGGCTTAAAAAATCACTATCCATCTCTGGATATATCTATCAGTATGTTTGTTATCTATCTATCTATCTATCTATCTATCTATAACCATCTCTCCCCTTAAGTCTGTTCATATGTATGTATGTAAGCATCTGTCTATCTATATATGTCTCTATCTCAGTCTGTTCATATCTATCTACATATGTATCTCTTTCAGTTCATATCTCTCTATCTATCTATCTATCTATCTATCTATCTATCTATCTACTCCTTTCAGTTTGCTCATATCTCAGTATATATGTATGTATTATCGCTTTCAGTCTGTTTATATCTACGTACCTCTATCTCAGTATGTATGTATGTATCTATCTATCTATCTATCCTATGATGGATCAATATCCGTAGTCGGAAATTTCACCCCAACAAATTCACTAGGATGCAAGGGATTGCTGACAGTGAATGTGGAAAGATTTTATTTTTCAGAAAGACAGAAAAAAATCGATTGAAATTGCATTTAAATTTTTGTACATCAATCTTTTCTGCAAAACAAGAAGCGGAAGAGATTTCTACAACCATGAATTGTGAGAGTCATTTCAACTGCAAAATGGTGAGACCTCGCCGGCAATTTAGTATTGCGTTTAAATTCATAAAACCTTGTTATTATAGGGAAAATTTCCTCAGAAAAATTACCATGAAAGAAATAATTATAAAAAAAGGCAATGAAATCAACGTCAATGCGGTAGGAAAGTGACTAAAGCCGAGATTCCAGTCCAAGACTAATATCATTGCATACCCTTCACTGAATTTTGTTGAGAACCCCGTGATACATAGCAATGGAACCCAACCGGGCTTAGTGTCCTTATTGCCTTTTTTTAATTCCTGTTTCTTAATAGCTTTTTTTTCTCATATTCTCTTGCACTCATTAACCCCTTGTTTCTTAGTAAATTAGGTTGGTTGAAATGATTAAAAAGCAAAAAGCTGTTATTATGAAATTGAATCTTCTCAAGTAGTTAACCTGCTGTTTGATTCCGTTTACCTTGCTTTCATTGCTCCAAGTGAGTGCTAAATTTTGAAATTCTTCTTTCTTCATTACATTTGCTCCTAATTTCTCTGATTCTTGGCAGCATTTCCTTTGCTAGTTCCTGTTCTCCATAAAATATCCTCTTTTCTCACATACCCGTCAGCAGAACTGCATCATTTTCTAACCTTTGACTAAATTGTCCATCAATCACTACGATATAGGAGAACAGATATTAGAATATAATCCAGCATTGTTCCTTTTCTTCCAAATACATTTTTCGATCGTTTTTGCTATACCAATGTGTCTTCGGTTTTCTTTGTTACACTTCCTGTTACTGGATTATCCAGATAATTAAATTTCCGAAACTCTTTGATTTTTACGTCCCTGATACGTAACACGCAAGTTGCGTTGTCTCTTTTGTTGAAAACTGGATATTCTCTCTTCTTATAGTTAATGATTAGGTCTCTCTTCTTTCTTTCCTTCTCTACTTTGTTTGATAGTTTTTTTTCACCTTTTTCTATTAATCTGACATTGACGTCTATGTAGCGGGTGTTACTAAAATTATGCCGATCGATAACAAATTTTGCAAGATCATCTGGTTCTTTTGGAATAATTTTACCCTCCACGTCTGACGGGGATAAACTATTCGTCGACTTCCTGATTCTATTTTTTATTCACTTAACTCGTCGATTATCCGCATGAAAGTTGTTTTCGGTACATTTTAGGTTGAATATCTTTTCTATGTAGACCAAGGTTTCCTAACGTTTTTAGTCGGTTCAATATCATCTTATTTTTTGTCGCAGATGATGTTAAGTGACTTTAATTTAAAATTTCACATGATGGGTGGCTTCATGACCTTGGTGATTATGGCTTCCCACAACTTCCTATAATTTGTAACTTTACGTTTGTAGCCATGCTGTCCCTCTGACCTCTTGCTTTGCCATCCTTTTGCACAAGCACGTTAGGCGGGTTAATCAATGTCTACCTCTGACACTCTTGATTTAAATATATCATGTGAGTGTTGAATTTTACAAGCCGTTTCAAGCAACTCTTTCTGATTCTAGACACAGAAGTTCTTTATGTTTCAATTATCCATAAAATTTTCTCAAATATTCCGTTCATAGTATTCTCAGCAGCCTTCTGTAGGACATCATATCTGTTGCCTTGATTCTCCACTTCCTCCGCCAGCAAAATTGTTCAAGATTCACTGCTCTATAGAAGGATTGATATTACGCAGCAGTTGAATACTCTTCTTTGTGTCTGATAATATGTTACTGATTCATAACCCTTTGCTTAACTCTTGTGAATCATCTTCCACATTAGCTGTTACATAAATGTTGCATAACGTGTAATGACTGACTTCTTTCTATGTGTGGCATATTTGATGATTTTTAGGCTTATCTTACTTCGGTAGACGTGAACACATTCGTTACACGTTTGATCAAATTTACATTTACAGTACTGGTTGTTAACCATGTTCACCATAGTCTATGAATATAGAATACAGCGCAGTACGTAATCTGTTCAATAAAGCAGCATTACAGATTAATACTCTCGAGTCAGACACTCTACTGAATCTGACTATATCGCCAATACCAGCCGCAGCAGCTGTTCCGTAATTCTTCAGTCTTCGATATCAAAGGCTGGCCGTGAGTATTCGGAAAAAAACATGGCCGCTTTTATACACGTCGCATTGAATATTTTGAGCCTTCTGATTGGTTAACTCTTCTATTAGTGAACTATAAAATGAGTCAGCTCATATTAGCTGGCTCACTAGTACCCAAGAATTCCAACACTGCTTAGATGCGCGAACGTTTCAGCAACCTGCAATTGTTGGCTATATGCATAAATGGTTGATGGAGCGGGTTGGAACATAACAGCAGTTTTTTACAAGTTCGTCAACGCAAAAATGTCGTGTCTTAATAATGCCAGTGGCTGTGTTTTAGCATCTTACCCGTTGTTTCATATCCGATTGAGACTCCATCTGAGCGTCCGTTAAAGCCTATCTAGAAAACGATAGTAAAGCATAACGCAAATAGCGTCGGTACTGTTATATACTTATGCTCTAAACTGTTTTCATCCAAGACTGGATTATACAGGGTGCGATGGATAAATTGTCGTCTAAATGCAAAAATGAAGACAACACTGACATCTCATTTTAAGTGATATTTTCCCCAAAATTGCACAAAAATATCTCGAAATAATAAAGAGTAAATTTGTTCAATAAAATCTGCTTGGTCTCTCGCTCAAACTGCACCCCACATAATAATCAAGGGAGTTGCAGTCTGGGGAGTTAGGAGTCCAGTTGTAAGGGGTGACGTGGTCGCAGAAATTGTCTGGCAGCCATACTTCTTGTATGGCATGGTGCAGAGTCCTGTTGTCAGATATAGTGTCTTCCTGTAAACCTTGACCCAGGGCAGCACTAACCCTTCGGTGCACTTGATGTAGACCGCCATATTGAGTCTGAGGCTCTTACCAACTTATCAGAACGATCAGAAAGTGTTTTCCGAGCTGCCTTACCTTCGTAATCACCATTACACTCATCCAACTCTTTCCAAATCCTCTAAACTGTTCTCAGATTAACACCCAAATACCTTGAAATGTTCGCATTACAGTTTCCAGTGCGAATGGCAAGCAATTCAGCATGCTTTTTCCAAATTTATGGTGGAGTGAATTGCGTCATGGTGCTTTTTTTCTCACAGAAAGTGCCTAACTGACCTTATTGTTCAGTCGAAAAAAATAGAGAACAAACAATGCGCACGCGCGAAATTAAAAATATTGCTAATAATCAAATCAATCTCGAGGGGAAAAAAGGTTTTAAAAAAAAGAAAGAGCTACAAACATGAACTTCTGTCGACAAAAAATTCGCACAGATGCAGGTCTGAAGCCCAAAGAAAAAACCCGATACAGTAAACAACTAACTAACAAAAGAGCTCAATACAACTGTAGAGCAGACCTAGATAAACCTAGTGAGCCAAACAAACCTACCTAGGTTTCACCTAAACGGATCGTCAGGCAAAGTAAGGCCTTAATTTCCTGACGATCCGTTTAAACAAACCTGAAAATTTAATCTTCTAACTCACTATATATATATATATATATATATATATATATATATATATATATATATATATTTTTGATAAGACATCATATATATATATATATATATATATATATAATGTCTTATCAATATATATATATATATATGATATCTTATCAATATATATATATATATATATATGATATATATATATATATATATATATATATAATTATTTTTATAAAAAATTTTATAACATAAGTATGTTATAAAATCACTACAAAAATAACCATTTTGTTTCAACACACTCTGTGTCTTATCAAGTGATGGTGTTGAAAATAAAATAAATGGTTTTAAAAGTTTCAGATGAATTAACGATCCTACACTAGGGGAGCATTGTTACAAAAGCTAGAATAACCAATCAAAAACGAAGTACAGAAAGATTCAAAAGCTTGACAACAAAATCCTGCTATCATAGCTATTTAGATCTTTAAATACGTGTAATATTAAAAATAATTTTTACTAACTAATAATTATAAATTTATATGATAAAATTTAATATTAAAATTAAAAACTGGCAATTTTTAAAAATCCAAATTTAATCACTATTAAGTTTAAAAACTACAAAATTATTGAGAAAAGAAAAAAATATATATGTTTATTCAATTCATTTCTTCATTGAAATTACGTCTGACAATATATATATATATATATGATGTCTTATCAATATACTCCAGAAAAAAACAAAACAGTATTAATTAATTTTGTAAGTATGCTAAACAGAAGATATAAGCGAATCCTTGATATCATGTTAAACTGTATTGATAATTGTCCAACCCACATAATGCTTAAAATCTAAAAATATACAAAACTAATTCAATTTCTTTCTCCTAGTTTTCAGACAAGACGTTTAGCTACCTTCACGCCATTTGTCATAAAAATCACTGAAAAAAAAACTTTGAATTATTCAGCTAGAAAGAGAACAGGTTAAAATTGTTTCGTGTCAGCCCCACCGTGTTTTCCCAACAAGACAAAGATCATTCAGGCCTTCAGTAATGGTTCCAACATTCATACTCTGGCTTCCATCTTCAAAGTCGATTCCAGAACCATCAAGAGAACGGTAAATAAGTTTAAAAAAGAGGGAACGGTGGAACTGGATAAGGAAGTCACAAAAGCAAGAGGGATAATTATTTAAACTGAGAGATAAATACATTCTTATTTCTCAAAGTAAGAGTCCAGTAGTGTTATTAAAACCTTGGAGAATTCCAGTATGAAAAATAATGCCAACCCACTTGTTTTATTCACACCAATTCTAACCATCTTCATTTGTAATCCAACATATAC